TTCTTAGTTCTCACACTCAGCAGAAGTGTATTAGAAATATATCAATAAGAAATGTTAGCGATTTGTTAGCTTATAAATGGATAATTACAGAAAGTAGATGCGTATTAGTGGTATCCTTAAGTAATATTAATGATTGATTAGCCCATGTATTAATAATTAAACTAATTAAGTAGAAGTGTATTAATAGTATTCTTAAGAACTATTACTGATTGATTAGCTTATACATTGAGAATTACACTAAGTAGAAGTGTATTAATAATACCAGTAAGAAAAATTAGCGATTGATTAGCCTATACACTGAAAATTCTACTAAGTAGAAGTGTATTAGCAGTATTCTTAAGAAATATTACTGATTGTTTAGTTTATAAAATGATAACTACACTTAATAGAAGTGCATTAGTGATATCCTTAAGTAATATTAGTGATTGATTAGACTATTAATTGATACTTAACTACGTGAAAGTGGTTTAGTAGTAATTAGCTTGTAAATTAATAATAACATTAGCTTATGATTTATTTTAAATTATTAATATTAATTTCATTGTTAATTAATAATAAAGAATGAATTACATTGAAAAATATTACAATTATGGGCATAATATTTTCAGAAACTTAAATATTACACATAAATTATACAGTAAGAAGAATTATATGTTAGGTTTTTGTAAAATATTAGTTTAATTTTCATTGATTCATATTAATTTGTTAGCTTGAATTTAATTAATTGTCAATTTGATATTTTATATAATAATTACATACTAGGTAATTTGTTAGGTATAATATTTGGTATTTTTTCTTAAAATACCGAAATACTGATGCCGTACCGAAATATATACTAAATTATAATATATATATATTATTTATTACATAAATATAGTTGTAAAATTTTACTTCTCTTTATTCTTAGTTATTTTTTTAAAATATTTCCCACCTTATATTTTCACTATACGTTCCTTTCCCCCATTTTTTTGGTTGCCCGCTTACACCCACTAAAATTAGACTTACTTTGGCACATAGGTAAATCAGAAGGGGCAGACATCAGACCTGCAACATGATCTTCTTTAATCGATCCGGAATAAGGGCAACTTCCTCAAGCAGATACTGTAACACACATCCATATAATCAATTGTTATCATTTACTTCCATCGATCTAAAAGCAACAAAGAAAAGCACCAGTGGTTTCCCCTTTTAGTTTTAGGTTTAGAAATCTAAAATCCACCATTTTCAAATCTTACTTCAACTCGGACAGACCATAGACAAATCTCTCCAGCTCTCTCGCCGTGAGTTGCGCCTGGTTTCTAGATTTTGCCTTCTCTCGCGGTTCGCAACAGGTACGATCTCGATCTCCCCCCTCTCNTTCAACTTAGACAGACCATAGACAAATCTCTCCAGCTCTCTCGCCGTGAGTTGCGCCTGGTTTTTAGATTTTGCCTTCTCTCGCGGTTCGCAGCAGGTACGATCTCGATCTCCCCCCTCTCTCTATCTAGCTATCTATATTCTGCTCCTCTTCTCTGTTTCATCTCTCTCTCTCTCTCTCAATCTTCTGCTCCTTTTCTCTGTGTGTTCATCTCTTGCTCTTTAAATGTTTGGTATATAAGTTATTATTGAAAGAATATGTGCACAAGTGGGTTAGGGTTTTTGATACAATCAAAATTACTGAAAGAAGATAAAGGTGATTGCAATATTGTAGTAAAATTGAGTTCTGATACATTATTTTTTATGTTCTTTTGGTGGTAGATTATCTTTTCTTTGCTCTCAATTTTCTTTTTACTTGATTCTGATGAGTCATCTTTATCATGGAAATTGTCCTATTGCTTTCATTCTATTGCTCTAAGGGGAAACAGTATTAATGTAATTTTGTATGTTGCAAAATTTATTAGTATTAATATTGGTTTACTGTTTCATTTTTAAGGTTACTAATTTATATAGTATTTACTACATGCAATCTGTATTAGTCTTAATTTATTGTAATATGATAGTGTAAAGTCTTATACAGTATCATTTACTTCTATAAAATTAGATCTGTTTGAGTTTTCTTTTCTTTCTTCCTCCTGCAATTATAGCTAATATGACAGAGTAATATAGAGCAAGAAACTATTATGTAGAAAATAATAAATTTATTATTTGTATATGTAGATGTAACATCGTATGTGGATGTACAATAGGAACATTCCTAATCGGCGGAGTTTCAGAGATGAATTTGTACAATGTGTTGATGAGTTTATTAATCATGCTATGTCATTTATTCAAAATAAGGGGATGATTAGGTGCCCTTGTGCGAAATGCAAGTGTAGAAAATGGTTGAAACTAGAGGATGCTAAGACTGATCAATATAGTAAGGGCTTTATGGATAATTACTATGTGTGGACTAGTCATGGAGAGACTGAGGGTAGTGATGATAATTACTTGTTTTTTTTCTAACATTACTTGAATTTATTAACTCTTTTTGTTTCATTTGCAGAAGCTGCTCTTAAGAGACCCGCGAAATGTGATGAGGTTTGGAAGAAGACCCATACAAAAAGCAAAATCGGGGAAGAAGCTTGGGTTGAGCCACGGGCTGAGGAGGCTTATGTAAGATCAAGATTAACTTAAAATTCTTTTATAATGAATAATGATTGTTTATATACTAAATTTCACTTTTAATGTAAAATCGGTATAAAGAAGCAGTGGAAGAGCTCGCTAGGAGTCAGCTGACCGATGAGCAAGGCCAGTCAATCATGCCATCGGAGGAAGAAACTCTCCCATTGTGGTTGAACGTGGTTGGAGGCGTGCATAAGGGTAGAGCATACGACCTTTCCTCCGAGCACAATTTTCATCGCCTCACTTGTGGACTACAAGGTATATACTTTTTGGTTAATAAGCTCTTCTTTTTGTTAGCTGTGTTTCGGAGTCAGTTAAAAGAATAACACATTCTGGAAATACAACCTTTTGGTTTCATGTGTTTACATGTATGGTTCAATTCGGTTATCAAAAAATATATGGCTTAGATAATTGTAATGTCTGTTACTTCAATCAGGTTTTTTGTAAAGCAAATATTGTGAATTAAACCATAATGGAGAAGGTGCTGTTATTATTGATTAAGAACAATTGATGTAGGATATATTTTCTGTAATGATAACGATGACAGTGATATAACATTGTTCGACAACTATTTATATGTATTGACTAGATGATCTGAGGAGCTCAATGTGGTGGTCATATTGATGGCTTGCTTAGTTGAAGTACAGTTTGCTAACAATCTTTAGGCAAAGTGGTTTAGGAAGATACTATCCTCCTTTAACTAGGCTTCACTATTTTTGGTGGTGGTAGTAGTAGTAGTAGTTGGATGGACTGTCTCTCTATCTATTTTCAAGAACCTCTGTTCTCGGTCTATCTTTTTTGGTGATTCTGTTTAGTAATATCAGTTTTATTGACTTCACTAGACTTCTGGTTCCACTCTACATGCATATAAATTGACTTCCAATAAATTTACTCTGAATCATCAAGAAAGATGACCCTTTTTCGCCTACAATCTGGAATGGTTTGCTCAATTTTTTTCGATATTTGCTTTTAATCCATGAATTTGGATTTCCCTTTCTTGAATTCTTTTCCAACTTGCTTAATATTTTACGAATTTTCGATGCGGAATAAGATTGACTAACTATGAATTATTTTTGTGATGCAAGTCGTTAAAATGTTTCTTGGATAATGTTATACTATAGAGGTTATGGATGAGGCAGTAGTTCTTCTTGAATATGTGGAGATCTCTTTACAGATTTTCAATCTACACTTAACCACATGACTATAACTATTATGACTCATCTAAATGCCTTGTTCTGCACTCTTTGAATTGTACTAGTTCTGTGATATGCATTGCTGTAAAGTGTTCTTTCCATATCCTTACCGAGAGGAAGGTTGGAGATTCAAATGAGATCCTTATCTGCCTGGAGAGGTTCTTTCAATTGTGGAGTTAATACATTAGAAGCTCTTCACAATATTTTGCCACATATTTAGTCTCTTCAAGATAATTATAAAGTTTAGGGCATTGCTCAATTTCTTGTTTCTATTATCTCCAATTATTTTCAGTTCTCACTAACCTGAATTACTCTAGGAATTTGACCTTGCCATTTTGTACTAACTTGGGTCTTATGCTTGTCTGATAGTATGTTCCTTGGTTGGAAATGCTCATGTTTTCTGTTTTTGATGCTTCCGTGTAGTGTAGGAATCAGGAATATTTAGTCCAAAGTCATTGCATTGCCTTAAAATAGTGTTATTCAATTCTAACTCATCGTGTATTTTTTTCACATCTCTTTTGTGGATTACAAGGTATTGGTACATCCGCCACCGTGCAAAATGAGGACCTTGAGGA